AAAAGGTGTTTCATCTGGTAGCTTAATTTCACCCGATCCGCCTATTAGCCTGCTATAGTTTCAACAAGTTGTAGTCATTTTTAACATGCCAGTAGCAGCGTCAAGGGCAGCCTCTGCGCCTCTCGGGGATGTTGTTAGCCGCTACAGTAACAACTTACAAAGGCAAGGCTTTCTTATCTACTAGTATAACAACTAACAAGGGCCGTGTTGTTTTTATTTTCTCAATAAAGAAATCTGGACTTTGTAAACTAATTTATTCCCATTTTCTGGGAATGTAAGTTCTCGTGAGTGTAATGAGACCTTATACGTTCAGAGCTGAACTACAATAGCCTAGAGCTGACTGGAACCCGATCATTAAAAACGAAACTGAAAGCGAAACTTTTATTTTCGCGTTCGTTTTGTTAGGCGCTAACAGTAACAATCTTGATGTTAACGATTTGTCATTAATATATCCGGGAAAAGTATGACCAATGTCGAACGGTGTTAGAAGATTGTTATCTGTTCGGTGTGCACGAAAAGTTCCCTCTGAATCCAGTTTAACATGATTTGGGGTATTCTGGCGTCTGATGGTCACGTTTTTTGTTTAAAATTTCCTGTCAAAATCGTGTAAATCTGATTATTATTACATCAGTAAAAACTAAACCGTAGTACGTATTACTACATGTAATTGGTAGGCGATCATGTCCTTGTGTTAAATCTAGTGCATGTGCTTTAGCCTTGCAGTGATATATGCCAAAATATGGCGCTAGAAACCATGTATCTTTCAAAAAGTTTTAAGCCCGAAAATATTCATATTGAAACAAAACTTTATTTTACATTTCAAGTCAATTGCCTTTGATTGATCATGCTAATACGGTTTCGGTAAGTATTAGCATGGTTCCGGTTATACTTATACCGATCGGTTTCGGTAAATTCAGGACCTCTTAAAACGTTATAGAATTATTACTGGTTAATAGAAAATCAACCAAATTTGCCTCAGAATAATGATACATCGATGCTGGTTGGATATCTAAAAATAGATAACCAATCATAGCTTCTTTTATGTATTTTTATGCAATTGATAGGGTGAACGGAAGCAGAAATACCAATATACACTCGACGTTTGGTTGCCAGCAGCATTGTGAAAACTTTAGATATTTATTTATTTTTGTTTATATGTAAGCGGAACAATTATTTATCATAAATTACCAACTCCATCACGTTGCCAGGATGTAGTACATAACAACGTGGTACGGAAATAAAGTTTGTATAGTAGTTAGTACTGTAAAGCTTGTAATATATTATTTCTGAGTGACCAAACATTTTCTTAGTCTTTCAAAGCGAGTTTTTCGTACTTTCTGTTCTTTCTTTTCTCCTTTTTTTCGGTTTAATCATATTACTTACACTGCAGTATTTCATTGACAAAATCCAACTGAACATACGGGTATTGAATTTCCTTAATTCACCGGAACACTGTTGTTTAAACAGGAATTTCCCAAGAATGAGAATGGGAGTGCTTAATTTTGCATGACTGACAGTACTTTGTGAAGGAGAGGGGCGGGGGTACAATTTACGCAGAGAAAATTTCGGAATTTTGGCATCATTCCGTGTAATGTCAGTGAATTTGATATGGTACCCAATTTTGACAAACTGGTTGGGTGAGTTAATCTAATTTTTCGAATATTAAATATCATTGTCTTGACATAGGCCTATAATTATTAATTGAAGGAAAGGATTATTCGCCATCTTTTAAAGGATTATCCCAATTTTGCAGACACCATTTCCAATTAGTCTCATTCTGTCGTCGGCTGCTGTCACTTTTGCCAATCACTATTTATTATTTTTTTGATGTTAAACTGAGTTTTTGTTGGTAATCACTATTCACGTACATTGATATGCTTTCTGTGTAATCTGACAAGAAATTAAAGATGTTATTATTATTTTGGCAGATAATTAAAATTGTATATTATTCAGAAAAAATGTTGTGGATGCTCTCAAGACCAGAATTATCATCTGATTGATTTTAAATTTAAACACAGTATTTAAGTCATGGGACGACAAAATCCATTGATTTTCACCAATTTTCGTAAACTTGAACAGCTAAATTCATGATATTAACTGTTTTGTATATTAAACGTTAGCATGTGGCAGAACTAGAAGCCAAACAAATTCTAATGAAATGAAATGAAATGGGGTTTAACGTCCTGCTCTTCTGCACCTAACCTGGGCTAATTGAAGACGGGCATACGCCATACAGTGTGCTATGAAGGAAATTTTGCCCGGGCAGCGGTGCTAAGGCCTACTCTTATATCGAATTCCAACTGCCAAGGGATCTTTTACGTGCACGCCAATGTGTACATGGGACCTCGGTTTTTGGTCCCATGCGAACGACTAGGCAGCTGTCCTTGTCAGGCCCTCCGTTCTGCATCACTGACAAGGGGAAACCATGCCGGAAAATCGAGATGAACTTTCTCGGCCAATGCAGGGATCGAACACCCGACCTCCAGGCTAGCGAGCCAGCGCCTTACCCACTTAGCCACGTGATCCCCCCAAATTCTAATGATTTATGATAATTACGTGTTCTACGATGTTTTCATTCCCGACAAAAGAAAACCTGTGCGACACCCCTTGTCGACTGCTCAGACGACTTAGCTGCTGTGGGCTTATGTTTCATTGCTTGGCATCCTATCTTAAAAGCGATAATTGCATATTTTCTAAGAAAGTGAAAACATATAATTATTTCTATATCTATTACTTAACCATACATTATGCAAGAGCTAAATCTGTCTATTGCAAGTCTTTCTTTACGCCTGAAATGTTATCTAAATTATTAATAAGACATTTAGTAACTTATCCAGACCGTAATCAACTCTCAATGTCAAGCTAGCCTGCGATATTTACTGGATTATGATCCAATTTGCTGCTCAACTTTCTTTCATGATTAAATCATGAAATGGATAATCGAGACTATGTTTTTTGTCATACCGACTTTAGTAATAATGATCGAGGCTAGGCCAAAAATTCAATCGCTAAATTCTCGGTTCAGAGTGGATCAATTTTCAGCAAATACCCTTTACATTATCTAGTTTTTAACTATAATAGTGAGAACTGCCAGCTCTTTATCTAATCTCTCATAATGTATCTTTAATAGGTTGTCAAAATACTACTATACAATCATGGAAATCATTCTAGCACTTAAAACTTTGAAATGATTTCTACTCACCTACGGTACTTGGAAATTTTATCATTTCTTTTCACTGGTAAACTAAGTCTACACAATGGAAGAGGGAGTTTGTCTCGATTGTCAAGGTCCGTGGTTAAACAGATAAGGATAATGATGCTTTGTTGAGCAAGACTTTTCAAGCCAGCTTATGTGATAATAACCATAGAATTCAACGTTGGAGAGAGAGAGAGAGAGAAATGGGGTTTAACGTCCACTCGACACAACTTGGTCATTTCGGGACTAACATATGGTTTAATTTTATTTCAATAATTCGCTTGCGCATAGGAATCTTTAGCAGTGGGCGGAAACCGGAGAAAACCCACGAGGTTGGACAGGCGACCCTACTCCTTGTCACGTACAACCGGGGATTTGAAACCACGCCAGTCGACTCAATGACAGACTTTATGATACGTGCACGCGCGCACACTAACCATTCAGCCGTCCAACCCTCCTTCAACGTTGGATTTGAAAAGAAGATGGTATTTTTGTCAATTTATAGGATTTAGGATTAGGCCCTATTCTTTAACATGGTAGGAATGCGTGTATAGATGTATGACCAGGTAGTATTTAATACAGCCATTCACCCAATACAGTGCTAGACTTACACCACAACTTGGCTCCCAAGATGGATTATCTATAGTAAGTTATCAATGGTCAGCTATGATAGAGATTAGAGACAATAGTAGTAATGAGATAATCCATCTATAAACATTAGGCAACTTAGTAAATGAATGAATGGATGTCACTTAAATACTACCCATTAACAACTATAAAATATTATTAAGTTTAAATATATATAATTACTATGTATTGTTTATTGTTACCAAGTAACCCCTAGTATATTAGAGGAAAGATTGTAGATCATAGGTAGAACCCCACAGGCAGGCAAGGGACAGACTGAAGGGCAGGTCTCTGATAAGTTATTTCTTAGATGCTGTTCCTTATTAAGTAACCCCCAAATAGATTGAACATACAACCCATCGTCGAAGGTTGGACCATAAGCAGGTCCATAAACCCCGGATGATAGATGCATGTATTTTAAGGCTTTATTTTAACATATTTTAAACATATAACTTTTTAAAAAAAATGCAATTATCGCTTTAAATTAATTCATTAAATGGCCAAAGCATTCTAATAACATATTTTAACCATGTAACTTTAAAAAAAAAAAATTATTGCTTTCAATTAAATTATTAAATGGCCAAAGCGTTCTAATCTACTGAAAATTAAGAGCCATCCGATGATCTAGAGAGTTGGTTATAGGCTTATCATGTGAATAAATGTTTGAATAATTGTTTATTTAACATTTGAAGCCAAAATAAAGACTAGCAATAGGCTGATTGAATTCTTACATAATGCACCTTTAAGTCTATTCAGTTTGAGTGAAAAACATGAGTATGTTGTACAACTTATGTGTTAGGCTATCCTTGAAGTAATGATGTGTATTTTTAAATTTATATTGTAAAAATAGTCTTAAAATTATGTTAGAGAACTATTGTGTTCTGTAGTTAGGTGCATGTATTAATTTACAAGTTGATAATTAATGAATGTTAGATGTTACATATTATCAGTAATGTATATGAATTGTATGATATTGAAGGGATTATGTGTGTATTTCACAATATTTATAAGACATGTCGAAACATGGCAGTACAATCTACAGTGCATAGTATTTTAATATGTTCTGTTGCCTAAATCGTGTAAGTATTACTATTTTTTTCTACATTATATTTTTTTTTTTTTTGTAAGTTACCCATTCCTTTAAGATTAAAGAGTTTAAATAAATCTTAGTATCAATGACGAACCAGGAAAATGTTCTTAATGTTTAACTGTTATTTGCAATATTTTAAATGAAGAGTATTAGCAGAAAGTTATGCTTTAGTTTGTATTAGACACCTAATGTGCATTACCGAGGAAAAACCCCACCAATTTCTGATAAGGGTCTTAATCTTTGGGAGGCATAGCAACTACAATACAATGCATGAGTTACCATGGTATATATTACTGTATTAGCTTGATAACGTTGAGAGAATATTCTTCGAAACGTCGCCCAAATAAATAAGTAGCTGTTTTTACATAAGTATGTGTTACAGTTTATTGTTCTGATAAGGGGTTTGCGAGAAATCATCTCTTATTTTTCCTTCTCATGTTTTTAAAAACATGTTTGATACGGTATAAACATGTAACGTTTGGGCGTAGTGATGTTTTCACTTCAGATTATGGCCTCCTTTATTTACATTGTGCAATCAAGTTGATGATATTTCATGTTAGAGGTTTCGTATTTGTCATTTGAATTTTACATAAATAGAATAATAGATGCTGATTCGTTTATATGAAATTGCTTAAATTAGAATATGTTGAAAATTAGGAGAATTTGAAAAAGCAGGGAATTATTTTAGCTGCCAGCAGCCCTGTCTAAAGTTAGTATAAAACTGTAAACATGCCTTAGGCCTAGTTCTCAATATCACACGATTTGACTATGCAGTTTAATATTTTTATTCACCCATATTGCAATGGTTGTGGTTGTATATTGCCATCGCCCCTGTCCGTTCGTGAACGCTCTAGAGACTAATGTTAATATCCAGTTGACTATAAATTTATACTCAGTGTTTAAGGTTAGGATATGACCAACCCTATTGCTTTTCAATGATTTCTGATAATTTCTGTCAATGTTTAGAGCACTTGATCACTTGAGATATCTTGTGGACGCGCTAGAGGTTAATGTTGATAGAAATTTATACACATGTCTAAGGTCATGAAACAAACATTTTAAAACAAATTTTAATGATTTCTGATAATTACTAAATGGGTTATTACGCGTAATCAGATTTTCATGTGTTGTAAATGTTCTCATTACTGACAAAATAAAAAAATATGCGACCGACAACACTTGTTGACTGCTCGGATGACTTAGCCACTGTGGCCGTATATTTCGTTGCCTGGCAGACTATCTATAAATTAAATCATTAAATGGCGATTGTATTTTAATTCGTTTCCATCTGAACTATTCTAGAGAATTGATTATGGGTTTGTTATGTGAATAAATGTCTATATAATAATTTGTATAACATTTGAAGCCAAAATAAAAGAAAAAAGAACATGTAATAGAATAGGCAGATTTAGCTCTTACTCATTGAGTCAACTCGCGTAGTATCAATTCCCTGGTTGTACATGTATGTGACAAGGAGTAGGGATGCCTGTCCAACCTCATGGATTTTCTCTGGGTCCTCCGGTTTCCTCCCACTTTTAAAGACCCCTACGTGTATCCGCATGCACGTAAAAGATCCTTTGGCAGTTGGAATTTGATATAAGAGTAGGCCATAGTGTCGCTGCCCTGGCAAAATTTGCCTCATAGCACACTGTATGGCGTATGCCGGTCTTCATTAGCCCAGTCGGAGCAGAACAGTGGGACGTTAAACCCCATTTCCTTTCATATTATATAATGTATAATTACAGAGTACTAAATCCCTGCTGGTAGCCTAGTTTACCGATTCTTGATTTATTTAACAATATGAAAGAAGGATTGAAATCATCTCAGCATGCAATATAACTCTTTCATTTTGATACATAGACAGTAACAATTCAATTAATTATATTCTATTGCATATTTCAGAGACCGCATAAAACTTGTGTGAAAGATGGGAGATCAAATTATTAGACAGTCGCTTTTAGAAATCACATTATTTAGCATGTTCATCTGCTTCATAGACTCTTAACTATGGATCTATCATACATGATTGATAGAATATTACAGTTTTCATCGAGGAAAAAAATGAAGTGACTTACTTATAGGAGAGCCGTAAAATGGGAAACATTATTCAAAGACTAAGGAGTAGGACTAAACCCAAATATCGGACTATTGTGCCAAATTGTGCTGTAGATCCAGAAATTTCCCATTCTCATAAAAGTCATCCAAATCATGGATATTTATCGAACAAGATCCAAACAAACCGCTATTCTGTGATAACGTTTTTACCCAAAAATCTTTTTGAACAATTTCACCGCTATGCTAATTTATACTTCATATTTCTGGTTGCATTGAATTGGGTGCCGGAGGTAAATGCATTTGCAAAGGAAATCACAATGTTACCGGTTATATTTGTGCTGGCTGTTACTGCTGTCAAGGATGCTTATGAAGATTTTCAGCGATACAGATCTGATAAAAAAGTCAACTCTCAAAATTGTCGTAAATTTTCAAGGTAAGGAAGTGATTTTTATACGCCCACATTGAAATGTGGTTGTATATCGTCGTCGCCCCTGTCCGCAGGTCCAGCATCCACAATTGTTTGTGGACACTCTAAGGTCATGAGACGAAGAAGCCTATTGATTTGCAACACTTTCCAATAACTACTACCAGAGATATGGCCCTTAATCACTTTGAAAAATCTTGTGGACACTCTAGAGGCTAAAGTTAATATCCGATTGACTTTAAATTTCTACTTGCTGTTTTATGTCATGAGACGAAAGAAGCCTATTGATTTTCAACTATTTTCGATACATGTAGTTCTGATGAAATTTGAATGTTTTTAAACAGTATTAAAGAAATGTTGCAGTTGTTTTTATTATGATGCAGTCATCAAAGCTGTTGGTGGGCAGAAATGAAATTTGTTTTGATTATTTGTTTATTCACAGGAGTTGGAGATAATAAAAATAAAACCAAGTAGGAACAATCCAAACCTTTAGACAAAATTTGAAGTCCTAAAAAACAATAGGCAAAATGGTGTAATCAGCAAATGGACTGTTCACCGTGTACAAAATACACGACAAAGTGATGAGCAAAGTTAAATCCCCTGTGATTGAAATCATGCTTTAGACCAGGAAATATTATTTTTGCTTTAAAAACTGTTGAAGTAACAACATGAGTGAATACATCAACACATTTAATTGATCGACATGCAAACACCTATTATTGTTATCTAAATGCAACAATGGTTAATGGATTCGATAATGATAATAGCACATTCATGCCAAATATGTTAGTAGTTTTATTGCTCAATTCATTATGAATAAAATAACATAAAATGAAATGTATCTACAATATATGTTGCATCCAGTGTACCATATGACATATATTATAGTATAGTATACAGTAAATATGTTAATGAGGTGGAAATTAATCTTTATATGGATTTGTTTACAAAAAAAAATAATGAGATGAATTTATATTTATCAATCTGATGAAAATACAGGTTCTATTTCATTTTGTTTTTCATAGTTCAAAATTTCGTTTTACTTATCTTTCTGGAAGAGTTGTTATAATCCGCGTTCTGGTTGATTAGCCAATGAAACGGTCTATTAGGGCGAGTTTTTGCCTTTAGGTGCATGGAACTGTGGATAAACCACTAGAAACATCAACATTGATTGGTTTATCAAATGTCTCATGTCATAGGGTCAAAAGCTACTTGTATGACACCTGACGCAACCTTCCACTACAACCGATCAGATCTTCATCTGCTGGAAGAATAAACAGTGAAATACATATTTATGGTGACAAACTGTAGTTCAATCACATTGTACATGTATATTTAAATCTTTTTATACGCCCACATTTTCATGTGGACGTATATTGTCGTCGCCCCTGTCCGTCCGTCCGTCTGTCCACAATTGTTTGTGAACAGTCTACAGGTCACAATTTTTGTCCGATTTCAATGAAACTTGATATATAGGTTTATCACCCTAAGATCTTGGTTCCTTTCGATATTGGCATGTATCGGACCGTAACTTCATGGATTATGGTCCCTGATTGTACGAAAAATTACGTTTTTGGCTTGTGAACACTGTAGAGGTCACAATTTTTATCCGATTTGGTTTAAACTTGAAATGTATGCTTATAACCCAAAGATCTCGGTTCCTTTCGATATTCGTGCATATCAGACCGTAACTTCCTGAATTATGGCCCCTGATTGTACGAAAAATCGCATTTTTAGCTTGTGGACCCTATAGAGGTCATAATTTTTCTCTGATTAAAAAAAAACGTATTATTATATCACCGTTACACCCTAAGGACAACTGAGTTCTAATTTCGTGAAAATCGGCCCAAAACTGACAGAAAAAATGGCCGCCCTTCATTCTCAAATAGCGTAAAAATATGGTATATCAAGGTTGTGGACCCTATAGAGGTCACAATTTTTTCCCGATTTTGTTGAAACTTGAAATGTAAGTTTATAACCCAAAGATCTTGGTTCCTTTCGATATTTGCGCATATCGAATTGTAATTTCCTGAATTATGGCCCTTGATTGTAGGAAAAATCACTTTCGTTTTAGCTTGTTTTCTATCCATCTCTCGAAAATGTGGGCGTATCCTGCCTGGCAGCCGCTGGTTTCTTTTTTCAGTAGAGAAAAACGTTACGTAAAAACTGATTGGCATGATATACATGTACATGTTGGTGATTTTGTCCATCTGTCTTTTTTTCAGTACAGAAAAACGTTATGTAAAAACCGATTGGCATGATATACATGTTGGTGATTTTGTCCATCTGTCTTGTAATGAGATAATACCTGCTGACATTTTACTGCTAAGATCTAGTGATAAAGAGGGAATCTGTCATATTGAAACATGTAATATAGATGGTGAAAATAATCTCAAACAAAGATATAGTGTTAAAGGACTTGACACAAAGGTAAAATCTCTTACATTTCCACTGCTAACTATTTATAATGATTTCACGGAGTAACTGTTGATTTCAGTAAGGTTTATTACGGAAACCAAACATTTGTTTTCTTTCAACTTGTATATTGAGCCTTTTGGAAATATTTTCTAGAATTTCTTGTAATAGAGTTACGATAAATAATTTAGATAAATCCTGATTTGTTCCATTATTTACCTGATATTAGAAATTTAATATGACTATCAAAGCTTATAGGTTGTCGACACACTAATTCAGCAATGTGATTATGGAAACAAAGCTCCAGGTGGGCATATATTACCATACTTGGCTAGTTATCCTTCTTTCTTTCTAGGAATGTGAATTTGATCCTTCAGATTTTCATAATGTCATAGAAGTGGAACAACCTAATTGTGCAATTTATAAATTTAAAGGGTATATGTAAGTATTTTATTTAAATTCGATATCAGTATTACTTGTGTATATATTGTTGTATCTGTCTAGAACTAATCGGTTGTATGCGACAAGGAGTAGGGTCGCCTGTCCAACCTCATTGGGGGGGGGGATGGCCGAATGGTTAGCACGCCTGCGCTGTATCATAAGGCCTGTCATTGAGTCAACTGGCGTGGTTTCGAATCCCGGTTATACGTGGCAAGGTGTAGGGTCGCCTGTTCAACCTCGGGGGGTTTTCTCCAGGTCCTCCGGTTTCCTCCCACTGCTAAAGTCCGCTACGTGCAAGCGAATTATTGAAATAAAATTAAACCATATGTTAGTCCCGAAATGACATAGTCTGTGTCGAGTGGACGTTAAACCCCATTTTTCTCTCTCTCCAACCTCATGGGTTTTCTCGGGGTGCTCCGGTTTCCTCCCAGTGCTAAAAGACCCCTACGTGCAAGCGAATTAATGAAATAAAATTGAACCATATGACTTAGTTTGTGTCAAGTAGACCTTAACCCTCTCTCTCTCTCTCTCATGGGTTTTCTCGGGGTGCTACTTTTTCTTCCCAGTGCTAAAAGACCCATACGTGCAAGCGAATTAATGAAATAAAATTGAACCATATGTTAGTCCCGAAATGACTTAGTTTGTGTCTCTCCCCCCCCCCTCCTCCAGGATGAGTCATTCACTGAGTATACTTTTTATTGTTTTAGATTTGAAAATGAAGAGAATAAGATAGCTTTAAATAGAGATAATTTACTGCTGAGAGGTTGTGTTATAAGAAATACAGATTTTATTGAGGGTATCTGTGTATACGCTGGTCATGAAACAAAAGCATTGTTAAATAATCGTGGTCCTAGATATAAACGCAGTAAATTAGAACGAGCTATAAATCGGGATGTTGTCTGGTGTGTTGTACTCCTGTTATTTTTATGTTTTTTCTGTGCCATAGGTAAGATAAATACTGATATATGTATATTTTCATGGAACTCTGGTCACGTTATTAATCTTTAAATGTTTATTGAATGTGATCCTCATTATTACATGGGGGGGTTGGATGGCTGAATGGTTAGCGTGCGCGCGCTGTATCATAAAAGTCTGTCATTGAGTCGACTGGCGTGGTTTCGAATCCCTGGTTGTACGTGACAAGGAGTAGGGTCGCCTGTCCAACCTCGTGGGTTTCTCTGGGTCCTCTATTTTCCTCCCACTGATAAAGACCCCTACGCGCAAGCGAATTATGTAAATAAAATTAAACCATATGTTAGTCCCGAAATGACCTAGTTTGTGTCGAGTGGACGTTAAACCCTATTTCTCTCTCTCATTATTACATCTTTGATGTATTCAATGGCACTTTACATGAACAATGTATATATATATACCTACACATACATAAATTAAATTAAATAATCAGATAATACAAATTGTTATTTGCAGAATATTCTTTGAAATTATAACACAGTTATCACTGATAATATCATAAGGTCTGTCATTGAGTCAACTGGTGTGGTTTCGATTCCCCGATTATATGTGACAAGGAGTAGGGTCGCCTGTCTAACCTCGTGGGTTTTCTCCAGGTCCCCCAGTTTCCTCCGATTGCTAAAGAACCCTACGCGCGAGCAAAATATTGAAATAAGGTTGAACCAGATGTTAGTCCCGAAATGACCTAGTTTTTGTCGAGTGGACTTTAAACCCCATTTCTCTCTCTCTCTTTCTCTCCTACCTAAGAACAATCATAACTAATGGTAGCATATAAATAGTGTTGACAAATTATACAAAAAATCATAAATAATGGTAGCGTATAAATAGTGTTGACAAATTATACAAAAAATCATAAATAATTGTAGCATATAAATAGTGTTGACAAATTATACAAAAAATCATAAATAATGGTAGCGTATAAATAGTGTTGACAAATTATACAAAAACAAAAAATCATAAATAATGGTAGCGTATAAATAGTGTTGACAAATTATACAAAAAATCATAAATAATGGTAGCGTATAAATAGTGTTGACAAATTATACAAAAAATCATAAATAATGGTAGCGTATAAATAGTGTTCACAAATTATACAAAAAATCATAAATAATTGTAGCGTATAAATAGTGTTGACAAATTATACAAAACATCTACAAATAACCTTACAATGCACTTGGAGCATATAATTTTATGTTTCTCACCATTAGAAATATTTCATGCTCAAGGAAATATCGTATAGAAGATATTTTTGATTGGTCTATTTACAGGAAGTGGAATATGGTTAGCGGACTATAACACTATAAAAGAAAATACAAATTTGGTACCATTTATATCATTTGGTGATTTAGATAAATATTCACCATTATACCAAGGTTTTATTGTCTTTTGGACGTATGTCATCATGTATCAAGTGAGTATACATCAGGGTTTTTAATCCATTTTGGGGAGTTGGATGGCCGAATGGTTAGAGTGTGCCTGTTGTATCATAGCACACTGTATGGCATATGCCCAAGCGAGGAGGGGGGGGAGATGGCCGAATGGTTATCATGTGTGCGCTGTATCATAATGTTCGTCATTGAGTCAACTGGCTTTGTTTTGATTCCCCAGTTGTAGATGACAAGTAGTAAGGTCACCTGTCCAACCTCGTGGGTTTTCTCCGGGTCCTCTGGTTTCCTCCCACTGCTAAAGACCCCTACGCGCTAGCAAATTATTGAAATAAAATTGAACATTATGTTAGTCCCGAAATGACCTGGTTTTTGACAAGTGGACGTCAAAACCCATCTCTTTCTCTCTCTCTCTTTCTCTCTCTCTCTCTCTCTTAATCCAATTTTAAACAAAAACATCCTTATACCAGAATTGGTTTGCTAGAGTCCAGGGAATATGTTCTTCGAATATATATGTTTTTTTCCCCTGGATATGCCGTTTCTTCCTGATCTTATTTCCGAGATGTATATTTTTTGTGCATTTTCTTCCTATATCTTATTTCTTAGAAGTAAGGTTCAGGGAGAAAATGTAAAAAAATAAACATCTAGACAGCTGTCCTTGTCAGGCACTCCTTCCTGCACCACCCTTAGAAGTAAGGTTTGATAAGAAAATGTAAAAAAAATAAATAAGTGTAGGTAGGAAAACAATTAGTTTCACAATTTAGTCATAGTCTACTTTTTTTATTCTGGATAAATATTCGCACAAAACAAATAATATATGCATAATCCTGACTAGAGACTTCATTTACCACATGGCTGATTCTCATAAGGGCTTGACTGTTCAGCTTCAGTTGACAGCCCATTCTTTATGAAGATATTTTTATACTCAAATTACATAATAAACATAATAACAGCAGTCTTAATATTAATATAGAACATATTTTGCACATTTGAATTATATGAGTACAATCTGGCTTGTTTTACCTTGAAAAAGAAAATCATTATTTATACATCCACAGTGATGAAATGTTGTATATTTTCTTACTTTTCCTTCTTATTGCCCTGCAGATTTATCATTATTTCATGTTATTTATATTACGGGTTGGGGGGTGGGGTGGATGTCCACATGGTTATCACGTGCACGCTGTATTATAAGGTCTGTCATTGATTCTACTGGCATGGTTTCGATTCCCCGATTGTACGTGATAAGGAGTAGAGTTGCCTTTACAACCTTGTGAGTTTTCTCTGGGTCCTCCGGTTTCCTCCCACTGCTAAAGACCCCTAAAGAAGCGAATTAATGAAATAAAAATTGAACCATGTGTTTGTCCCAAAATGACCTAGTTTGTGTCAATTTTACGATAAACCCCATCTCTCTCTCTATTACAGGTTGTGATACCTTTACCATTATATGTATCTGTAGAATTAGTTAAATTAGGACAAGTCTATTTTATGACACAAGATAAAGAATTCTACCATCCAGAATCAGATAAAAGACTAGAATGTCGTGCCTTGAACATAACAGAAGATCTGGGCCAAATACAATATATATTTTCTGATAAAACAGGAACATTAACTGAGAATGTTATGGAGTTTAAAAGTTGTACTATAGGTGGTGTTGACTATCCTCATTTACCAGGTAAAGTTTATTAATTTGTTCAACATTTACCAGGTAAAGTTTATTAATCTGTTCAACATTTACCAGGTAGGACCAAAATATAAGTGTTAAAAGAATTTTTAAATTGCAGACACCTGGTACATTTATAGAATTTAAAGGGATTTTGTTGGGTTTTTTATCTGCATTTCAATAATAACAATGTTAAAACATTTTATAAAGGTCAATAATAAATTTTAGACAATATTTAATTATTGATATTTTATTTTTACAGGAGACGAGGAGAGTAGTGAAAATGATATTGATAGTAAATTTTCTGTCCCCAGCAGAAACAGTTCCGTAAGTTTTAAAGATACTTTTCAGCATATGATATATTTGTACTAAAAACATATTCAAACTAATTAATCTATCAAAATTTTGCTTCAAATCCTTCTCAAAATCGGGGGGTTGGATGGCCAAATGGTTAGCACCTGCGTGCTGTATCATAAGGCCTGTCATTGAGTTAACTGGCGTGGTTTTGAATCCCCGGTTGTACGTGACAAGGAGTAGGGTCGCCTGTCCAACCTTGTGGGTTTTCTCCGGGTACTCCGGTTTCCTCCCACTGCTAAAGACCCCTACGTGCAAGCGAATTATTGAAATAAAATTAAACCATATGTTAGTTCTGAAATGACCTAGTTTGTGTTGAGTGGACGTTAAACCCAATTTCTCTCTCTCCCTTCTCAAGATATTGTATTCATGAGGGAGTACCCCTGCTATAAAAAATCTATTAAAAGAGGCCAGGTTTGTGTCACATGACTTCGATGACGAACTACCTAGCAACGGGTGCGAAGCTGGAGGAGAATTCATTGCAAAAACAAGACAATGTTGTCATTGATCGCTGTCCATTTATCATAAATATCAGAGTCTAATTAATTCTCGGATTATCCTTTGCCCATTTCTTTTTCCGTGATTTTTTTCTCAAAACTGTTGTACGTTTAAGCTCACCATCAAGTTTATCAACATATACATAAAGCAATCTTTTGTAACCCAAAGAATTTGTCTCATGCTTCAAATGACCATAGAGTAGAACTTATAGATTTGAATAAATTTGTCTTTGACAAAGATGTGCTCTGAACTTATTATGCCTTTTAACTCTATTATCATTATTTTGTTAAATTTGAAACTATTTCAGATTTTAGAGAATTTGCGGTTAGAACCAGCATTACAGAGAGAATTATCTAATATGTGTTTAAGAAGTTTAGATAGTGTAGAGTTAGTTATACCAAGACATGTACAACGAGTCCAGGAATTCTTTTTATTAATGGCTGTCTGTAATACTGTAGTTGTCTCCCATCATCCACATGAAGATAATGTAAGTCACAATCTTAATGTCAAGTACTCTTTGATATTGTAAAATATTAAAGGACAATATTGGTGTCAGGCTTTATCACATGTGATCAAACTGGTTAAACACATTCCAAATATAATTTTAATAAAGAGATCATTGCTACGATAGATGCATTATAAAGATTTCAAGAAACGGAAGTGATAAATGCAAAAGGAAAACACAAGTAATCCTTCTAAATAATTGACTGATAACAAAGACACTGGCAAATTTCTGCTCACTAATAATTCCTTCGAAGACTAAAAGTTGTTATTTGAGACAGTGAGAGGATATATGACAATTCAAAAAAAGAAAACGAGAAAAATAGAAATAATCTGTACATTCCCTTGCTTTTATTCATTCTATATTTAATAAAAAATATGGCAATGATCTCTATGTTAAAATTATATTTGGAACGTGTTTAATGAGTTCCATCACATATTTGATAATGACTGACACCAATATTGTCCTTTCAGACCAATCTTATTAAAACACAGATCCAATTTCCTTTCGTTTTTATAGTTCAAAATTTTGATTTTACTTGTCTTTACTACACTTGGATCTGGAAGCGTTGTTATTTTACTTGTGTTCTGCTTGAAATGAGGCGTCAGCCAATCAAATTGTCTGTTGAATCGAGCGTTTGACCTTTTTTGCGCGGAACTGTGGGTAGACATTAGCGGCAATAGAAATCAAAACAAAGCAAAAGTAGATAAAAAATACATGGCGGTCACTAATTGGTTAATCGAATGACTGACGTAATCGGGTCAAATGTCGCTTGCTGGGTACCTGACGTCATAGAACGTGAACTCCCACTATAACTTGTTAGATCTACATGTAGTGTAGGCCATCGAAAGTATAAAAAACAAAACGAAATATAGATCTATATTTTAATTAGATTGCTTTAAGACTAACGAAGTATCAAGTGTAGTTAAGAATCTGCTATGTTAGAGTGAGTTGTGATGGCTAACACGTCACTCGTTCGCTCCTGGTATTGGCTGAGGAAATTTCTCAGCATTTTCTGGCGTGGTTTCCCCTTGTCAGTGGTGCAGGATGGAGGGCCTGCAGGAGTGTGGTGACCCATGATTTTGCATGAGGAACAATATGTTCGGGTCCCCAAAAAAAACAATATTTATTGCCTCCAGTGCCGTTGAGTAATATTGGCCTCTGTGGAACATGCCAGAGTTGGTTTGTAGCATATCTGACTCACGGTATATGTTACACACTGGTTGAGCATTATGGTTATAATTTTAATGTTGAAAACTGCATTGAAACTGCATGATTTTTGCCATTTACAAAAACTCAAGGGGAGCGCAAAGACTCTAAACCATGACGCAAAGCTTTTTATTGCGTCCCTCTCACTTAGCCCCTGAGGGCCTGGCAAGAAACAGTGTCTTGCTATTTGGATGGGACAAAAGACGAGGTCCTGTGTACATATTGGCCTGCATGTAAAAAAAAGTCCTTGACAGTCGTTATTAGCCCAGTCAGTGCAGAAAAGTAGGACGTTAAACATTATTTAATTTTACGACCACTTCTTCCACTGTGCTAGAATTAGGTATGTTGACCATTGAATTATCATTGGATTGGTTTTTGTTTGTGTAGATAGATGAAAGTGGTTTTCTAACAGATCCACAGTTTGTTGGTGGAATTGCTTCAAGAATTGATCAACCATTAGATAAATATAGCCGTCTGTCCCGATCTAGTTCACCATCGTCGAGTCAAGATCCGCGTGATTCACTAACACCAGTCCCATCAGAAGGTAGTATTGGTGGCTCCTCTTTACTATCTGACATGTCGTCACGTACTAGGTATGAAGCTGAAAGTCCTGATGAACTAGCTCTTGTTAAAGCTGCCAGTACGTATGGTTGTCGTCTACTCAAAAGATCTCCTAAAACAGTAGTTGTTTGGTTGCCAGGTAAGATTTTTTTTATTGTTTAAGAAGATTTTTGTATCCAAGGTAATAATTACAAGTAAGCAGGGGCAGAGTCCAAACCCCACCCTGCTCAACTGACAGATACATAAAACACTTTATGAGAAATGTGTAACCGTCGTGTGCTTTATCCTTTATCATCAGATGGTGGGATGGGATTGGCATTCATAGCACGAAATAATGGTATAGACATATCACAAGGTTCGCACACTCCTTGAAACTCCTTGAAAATCCTGGAAAAATGAAAATGTGATTTCCAGTACTGGAAAATCCTGGAAAAACAAGATTACTCCTTGAAACTCCTTGAAAATTAACATTTGTGGTTTCGCTTTAGATTTTAAGATATAATACTGAACTTAGTCATCGAATGTTTCTTCAAAAGAATAAACTCTGTTGAAATCTAATTTTGATGAGATCCTTTATTTCTTCGAGTCAGTCGAACAGTGTTCTTCAAGGGTAAAAGAACTACATGATGATGTAGAATTCTATACAGTGTCTCCTGGAATCTGGTAAATAACTCCTTGAAAACTCCTGGAATTTTAAGTGTTCTGAGTTGTGCACACCCTGTATCAATTCTTAAATGAATCTGCCAGTCTAGACACATAAAACAATATAGTTTTGGTTATTTTACAAATAGTGATAGTTAATTCCCTTAAAGAATTTGTCAAATTGAAAATAAGCCTATTTTGCACATTTTAAAAAAACCAAACTGGTACTGAACAATTTATTGTAAAATTCTGTTTTCAGTTGGGGGTGGCCAAGTGGGTAAGACTCTGGCTCGCTTTCCTGTATTGGACGAGAAAGTTAATCGTGATTTCCCGACGTGGTTTACCCATGTCTGTGGTGCAGGATGGAGGGCCTGACAAAGACAGCTGTCTAGTCCTTCGGATCGGACAAAAAACCGAGGTCCCGTGTACACATTGGCGTGCACGTAAAAGATCCCTTGGCAATTAGAATTCGATATAACAGTAGGCCATAGTGCCACTGCCCGAGCAAAATTTCCCTCATAGCACAGTGCTTGGCGTATGCCTGTCTTCATTAGCCCAGTAGGAGCAGAACAGTAGGACGTTAAAACCCATTTCATTGCATTTTATTTTGTTTTCAGCTGAAGGAGAGGTTGAACTAGAAATATTACATATTTTACCCTTTGATTCAACACGTAAACGCATGTCTGTGATACTTCGTCATCCATTATCAAAAGAAATAACCCTTTATACCAAGGGAGCAGATTCAGCCATATTAAGTGTTTTAGATAAAAGTTTTAAAGGTATGTAAAATTGGACTACTCTTCACTTAATAACAAGAATAAATGTGGTGCAAGTATGTAGATAAAATTTATTTCTATATTAAAAGGGGGTTGGATGGCTGAATGGTTAGCGCATGTACGTTGTATCATAGGTTCTGTCATTGAGTCAAATGGCGTAGTTTCGATTCCCCAGTTGTACGTGACAAGGAGTAGGATCGCCTGTTCAACCTCATAGGTTTTCTCTGGGTCCTCCAGTTTCCTCCCACTGCTATAGATCCCTATGCGCAAGAAAATTATTGAAATAAAATTGAACCTAGTTTGTGTCGAGTAGAGCAGACGTTTTTCTCTCTCTCTTTATTGTATGTCAATCTGATTTTATTTATGTTGTAGTTGATGAAGAATATAGACTACAACGAGATCAAACTACTGAACATCTGACGCAATATGCCATGAAGGGTTTACGTACATTATGTATGGCAAAAAGGGTAAGTATACAAATTTAACATAATCATCTTTCAATAGAATGGCAATGCCCTAGGAAAAAAAAAATCTAAATATTTTTGTGGCCTATCATGCTCTCTCTCTCTCTCTCTCTCTCTCTCTCTCTCAACTGGCGTGGTTACGATTCCTCGGTTGTACGTGACAAGGAGTAGGGTCGCCTGTCCAACCTCATTGGTTTCCTCTGGATTCACCGGTTTCCTCTCACTGCTAAAGACCCCTACACACAAGCGAATTATTGAAATGACCTAGTTTGTTTTGAGTGGATGTTAAACCCCATTTTTCCCTCACTTTCCGGTTGAATGTGATTAGGAGTAGGGTCGCCTGTCCAACCTCATGGGTTTTCTCCGGGTGCTCTCTCTCTCTCTCTCTCTCTTTCTCTCTCTCTCTCTCTCTCTCTCTTTCTTTCTCTCTCATAATTTAAATGCCAATACATTATTATTTTCTATGCTGTCAGGTTTTAAAAGAGGATCAATACAAAGCATGGTTAGTTGATTATCTGGTCGCATCAGCTTCAATAGAAGAAAGAGAAGAACTTATGTTAAAATCTTTCTGTGATATAGAAACTGGGTTAGACTTATTAGGTAAGTAGTAAGTACAATGGTAGATCAAAGATTTTAGAAATGTTTTGTTGTTAGCCGTGGGAGGAAACCGGAGGACACGAAGAAAAGCCTAGAGGCCGGACATGCGACCCTACTCCTTGTCAAGTACAACTGGGTAATCAAAACCACACCATTTGACTCAATGACAGACCTTACGATACAGCACGCACACGCTAACCATTCGGCCATCCAACCCCCCTATTGGCTTAGAAGACAACTAGATGAAAAGACGTGCAAGAAGATTATCAATCTGGACAAGCAAGAAGGGGGATTCCAGATATGACAATCTCCACCGACAAAATACTAGATGTGAACAAAGCCCAGCTTAGGCGGTTCATGGCAAAAAGAGAAAAAATTCAAATTCCAGATGAAAGTTTCACGGTAATCGACCTAGCGGTGCCAGGGCGGAGACTGAGCTATCCCTCAACGTTTTCTGTGAAGTTCCACTCGGTGGTCGGTCTAGGCTTCTAGCGGCGAGATGGACGGAGACTGTTCAAGTCTGCAATCCCTCAACCATCTCTGTGATTGGTCGAAATCCGTGACGTAGGCGATTTCTTAGCAGCTTTCCCTTAGGCCCTTACTGCAGTCACAGTCATGCGTTAGGGGTCCCTCGATTCTAGTCAGGCCTAGGGCCCCACTCCGGTTAAGCTGGGCTTTGGATGTGAATCATGTTATATGTTGTTGTTTTGTAAATATTTTTTCTTTGCAATTTTTACTACTTGTACTCTTGACTTAAAGTAATAAAGATGGGTGATAAAGTTTTGTGCAAATATTGAACGGGTATCACATCAGGGCTGTCGGTAATTTTCACAGTTGATTAGCAGCACTGCTAATCAAAAAATCCAATTTTGCCAAATTTCATTAGCAGTTTTTCAGTTTCAATGTAAAACACCTAAATAACAAGATATTACTTTAATTCATAACAAATATGATTAGATTCCATTCTGACTATTCTTAGATTTTTTAGCACTGCCACAAGTACTTGTGACAGTTTGTGAATGTGATGTAGACATTTTGTTAGGTCTTATGTCTGAAGCCAATTCTTGACAGTGACTTCCGAAGCCCCACTCATTTTAATTGTTATTTTTTTGTTACGTTAGAAATCTTCGTTGTCTCACAACGTCAGTGGTACTACTTGATTCCCTATTTCCAGTTTAATAGTCCCTATTCATAGAGTTATGTCCCTGTGTTATATAGTATTGTGTCTGGGTAGTTCGAGAAGAAAATGTCACACGGAGAATTCAGTTTTGTTTATAAAATTTTATTCAGCATTTTATACACTTTGAAAGTGTTGAGTAAGCCTTCTAGTCTTCAAAATGTGGATTATTCTTGTGTCAATATCCAAAATGACAGGCATTTACTGCGAATCAAAAATGTTAGATTTTAATTTTTGGTTAGCAACGGACAAAATATGTATCGCAAATTGCGCTGCGATACTGGTTGTCGTCAGCCCTGTATCATATCTAAAAAATAATGAATTTTTTTCTAGGTGCTACTGGTATAGAAGACAAATTACAAGATGGGGTCCCAGAAACTATAGCTAAATTAGGTGAAGCAGGTATTAAATTATGGGTGTTAACTGGAGATAAACAAGTAAGTTCATTTCTTAAAGAATTTTATGTTTTAGAATTGCAATATTATAATATTGATAATATTAGAAACAATAATATTCAATATACCGTACATGATATACATTGCATTAAAATTAAGGCCAGATCAATTTCACATCACAGTGGAAATAGTATTTTTGCCTGATATAATTACATCACACATTATGCATTACATGGGTGGTTGGTTGGCCGAATGGTTAACACGTGTGTTGTATCGTAAGGTGTGTCATTGAGTCAACTGGCGTGGTTTCTATTCCCCGATTGTACATGACAAGGAGTAGGGTCGCCTGTCCAACCTCGTGTTATTTCTCCAAGTCGTCCGGTTTCCTCCCACTGCTAAAGACCCCTACGCTCAAGCGAATTATTGAAATAAAATTGAACCATATGTTTGTCCCGAAATGGCCTTGAGTGGATGTTAAACTCTCTCTCTCTCTCTCTCTCTCTCTCTCTCTCTGTGCCTTACACAGTTTATAGGTATGTATTTCTATGAAATATTTCTTACAGGAAACAGCTATACAGATCGCATATTCTACAAAACTATTTACTAAAAAACAAGAAGTTCTACAGCTGAATGCCACAACTAAGGTAAGTATTGTTACTTTGTGAAACCTGAGGTGGGGAATATATATATAGGTTTTATATGTTTGTTTGAAGATTCTGTCGATTCCCCGGTTTTACGTGACAAGGAGTAGGGTCGTCTGACCAACCTCATTTTTTTCTCCGGGTCCTCCGGTTTCCTCCCAGTGCTAAAGACCTCTACGCAGAAGCGAATTATTGAAATAAAATTGAAGCATGTTAGTCCCGAAATGACCTGGTTTGTGTTGAGTGGAGGTTAAACCCCTCTCTCTCTCTCTCTCTCTCTCTCTCTCTCTCTCTCCTTATCCTGAATATTTCTTGAAATAAAATGTCTATTAAATGTATAGATTCCATTGTATTTATCTCCTGTCTTATACATGTCACAATTTTATGGAATACAATTACTGCTTATTACTGAGCGACTAGGCTTTTCTGGTCATTATCATTGTATTCCATTGTATATTCCAGTTCAATTACCATTGAAACGATTCATTAACCCAGTCAGTTCATTTCTATTTATCTACATAACTTCTTTTATACTAGGAAGAAGCAGAAGATCTTTTAAGACATCATTCAGAGCAAATATCTAAAGACTACAAGTCTTCACTTAAAGAGCATAATAATGACACATCAACAACAGTCTTTAGAGAATATGTTTTAGTTATAGATGGTACAACTCTGGCATTTGCTCTAACAGAGGAACTAGATCCCATTTTCTTGGCTCTTTGTCAGAAATGTAAAGCTGTCGTCTGCTGTCGTGCCACACCTATACAGAAGGGAAATGTTGTTAAATTGGTTAAAGAAAGATTGCAGAAAATGACTTTAGCTATAGGTAAGTTATTTAATCAACCACATCTGTATGTTATAAATTACCTGTCCTTTATGAAAAAAAAATGGTCGAAACTCATGTGAGAATCGATTGATTTGTACACGTTTTGATCAACACTTTTTTTAATGAAAATATTTTTGATTGTGTATGGTCTTAAACTCTATACCTAACCCTCTGGTAAATTATTTGTATTTGTTCATTTGAATGTATTTTTTTCCCAGTCATGCAGTGTACTAGTCGAAATGTTGTGTGTTCTGACTCTAGGACAATTCATCCCCAGACGACTCGTCACCGAGGTCAATTGTCCCGTAGCCACGTATTCTGCATCAATTGCACATATTGTTTGATCATTCAAAGAAATATTGAGAAATGTTGCTTCTGGTTTTTTTTACAGGTGATGGAGCTAACGATGTTAGTATGATACAGACAGCTGATATAGGTATAGGTATATCAGGTCAAGAAGGTATGCAAGCTGTCATGGCATCAGACTTCGCTATTGCTCAGTTCCGTTTCCTTTTAAGACTATTGTTAGTACATGGTCACTGGAATTACTTTCGTCTTTCAAATTTTGCTGCCATCATGTTTTATAAAAGTCTGGTAAGTTAAATTTATTAAAAAATATAACATTTTTTTTTCTTCTCATATTCCATTGTTCTGTATGTTTGAATTTATAGGATTGCAAATATGTATTTGAAGTTCAGATTTCAGATATAGTTTGGGGTATTTTTTATATGATTACATTACATTCATATACATATTTGGAATAATTATTTATTTATTTTTTCAGATTACTGTGTTTTTATTATTTTGGTTTCAAATCTATAGTGGTTTTAGTGGTTCACTGATGATAGACAGTTTATATTTAATGTTAGAACATTTGCTTTTTGTATCCGTTCCTCCAATAGTAAACGGCGTATTTGATAAAGATACATCAGCTGAACAATTATTAGATAAACCACATTTATATAAAGCAGGTCAGAATAGCAAGGTAAGCACATTTATATATTTATATAAAGCAGGTCAAAATAGCAAGGTAAACACATATTCTTGCTTATTATGAATGTAAATGTCCAAATGGTTAGCATGTGCGCGCTTTATCATAAGCTCTGTCATTGAGCCCACTCGACACAAACCAGATCATTTCGAGACTAACACATGGGTTAATTTTATTTCAATAATTGGCTTGTGTGTAGGCGTCTTTAGCAGTGGGAGGAAACTGAAGGACCCGGAGAAATAGTATATTAGATTGGTTAGCTTGTTTGCTTGTGATCTGATCATAATTCTCATCGTATCATTACACCTGTATGGTGATACACATTGTATTGTAATGCTTATCACTAGCCAACCATCACAGTAATTATTATCATTTTGTATTTCACAGTTATATACCAAATGGACATTTGGCATTATTTTTCTTGATTCACTATACCAAAGCCTGGTCATCTATTTCATCACCCATTATGTAAGTTTAGTTTAAACTCACTTTATTGCATCGACATTTCATTGTACAACACAAAATGATTAAACAAAAGTTCTAACAACTTAAAAATGTCTCGCCTTGTAAAATGTTAATTGATGAGAATATTTTAAATGATAGATACGCAGTTATATTCCTTTCATTGAAATAATCATTGATATAGTGCATTATGTAAGTATAGAATCTTTTATTCTAAATTAAAGATACATTATGTAAGATTTAGATAAAGAGCTATCCATTCTTGCTATAATAGTTTGAAAATAGATAATGTAAAATGAATAATTTGAAAATTTTCATCAAAATTACTCTATTGCGAGCGAAGATATTAGCCTTTGAAGGTTTGACAAGACGTGTGCAATAATTTCAACCACCGCACTGATTGTTCGAAGCTAAGTCTCAATCCTCCATTTTTAGCTTAAATCAAAATATGGCTGAACTTTTCTAATCTCTTTAATATCGGAGAAATCTGATGCCATCGAGAGTTGATTATGGCCTGGATAAGTTAATTAATGTCTAATTAATAATTTAGAAAACATTTCAGGCCTAAAGAAAGACCTGCAATAGGCAGATTTAACTCTTGCATAATGTATGTTTAAAGTAGATTATTTTTATTGGTAAATGCAGTTGTCTACAAATAAATCAGTTGGTCTTATAAATATTTTTTACTAACATATTTTATGTTTTTCTATGTTTATGTTTTCCAGTCATACACAAACTTTGGTGTTGGTTTATGGGAGTTTGGTACTACAATATGTGTTTGTATGATATTAATTATTTTACTACAGATTGGTCTAGAAACTAATTCATGGGTAAATATTCAAATAATTGTACTTTTATCTCATTTTTTTTGGTAGGATTGATCCATTATTTTACAGAAATGTATTGTTTTTGAATAGTATGGGTTAATATTTGTAAGCATTGGGTTCTCAATGTAGATAGCTGGAAGAGCGAGACATTGACAATTTCCCGTGCAGTATTCAATTTATGTCAGTAATAGTCCTACAAAATTATGTGTTGTCGTAATACAATAGCATGAAAGCGTGCCGACACGTACCCGTTTCAAATGTTTTTGGCAATAACTATTTATACTATTCAAATCGAAATATTCGTTGACATTTCTTTACTTAAAAACGTAAATCTCATTCAAAGTATTATCATAAATCCGAAAATATGCCATCAAAATAGAATCCTTTCTTCGACATCAGTCTTCTCGATATTATTCACATGGGATAGGTCTATATTCTGTGAGACAAGTCATGTATTCACCATTACACCATTTGTTCAAAAGCACAATTGAATTGAAGTAATGCTAAAAAGTATGCCAAACCTACTCAACATTTGAGAATGCTGATAATGCAGAATCTTTATTTTAGGAAAAGATGAGTGTTTTATGATAAAAAAATTTATTAAATTTATTAATACTAACTAAAATCTATAAATGATATTTTCTAGGTATGGTTGCAGTGGTTATTTTTGATACTAAGTTTCATGGTATTTTGGATGTTTGCCATCGTTTCTAATGCCATCTTTTTCACATTCAACCCTCCTTCTAATCCATATTGGGTAATGGAGAATACCATATCTCAGGCTATACATTCTTGTATTGCAATCATTGTTTGTGTTCTAGCTTTACTGCCACGGTAAGTAATCAGATTACAAATTACACCACTTTTATTAGACATGTCCTGTGGGTTAGTCAACATTGAACAATGTGTTAGTACCAGGTATTATACTTAGATGCTGGGGAGTTGTATGGTTAGCGCACGTTCATTGTAACATTGAGTCAACTGGTGTGGTTTTGATTCCTCGGTTGGACGTGACAAGGAGTAGGGGCGCCTGTCCAACCTTGTTCGCATTCTCCAGGTCCTCCTGTTTCCTCCCACTGCTAAAGACCCCTATGCGCAAGCGAATTATTGAAATACAATTGAACCATATGTTAGGCCAAAAATAGCCTAGTTTGTGTCGAGTGGATGTTAAACCCCATTTCTCTCCCTCTCTTCCCCAGTATATAATTTTTTTTTTTTTATATCGGTGAGATACTTGAGTGCTGAAGATAGTTCATTTCTCTTGATTGTAATATTACTTTATATTTAACATCAAAATTGGACACAAATCTAACCAAAATGACGTTAAACTTACATTTAATTCACATCAGCTTGCTATCTGGGTATAATTAAATTGCATGAACTGAGTGTATGATAAATTTTGACCGGACTGATGATTGTAGTGCCACATGTAACCAGTTATATTTCATTGTGTTATCTAACATTACTAGAAACATACTGTAGGGGAAGGGTGTGAAAAACAAGTACTGAATGTTTATAATGAATGTGGTGAGAGATCCAACAGGGCTAATGAAGACGGGCATATGCCATATAAATTTTGCCAGGGCAGCGACGCTATGGTCTACTCTTATATCGAATTCCAACTGCCAAGGGATCTTTTACGTGGATGCCAGTGTATACATGGGACCTCAGGTTTTTTGTCCCATCTGAACAACTAGACAGCCGTACTTGTCAGGCCCTCCATCCTGCATCACTGATAAGGGGAAACCACGCAGGGCTGTCGGTAATTTTTCACGGTTGATTAGCAGCACTGCTAATCAAAAAGTCCAATTTTGCCAAATTTGATTAGCAAATTTAAAAATTGATTAGCAGTTTTTCAGTTTCAACATAAAACACCTAAATAACAAGATATTACTTTAGTTCATAACAAATATGATTAGATTCCATTCTTACTAATCTTAGATTTTTTTAGGAGTGCCACAAGTACTTGTGACAGTTTGTGAATGTGATGTAGACATTTAGTTAGGTCTTATGTCTGAAGCCAATTCTTAACAGTGACTTCCGAAGCCCCAATCATTTTAATTGTTATTTTTTGTACGTTAGAAATCTTCGTTAGAAAACAATTTTGTCTGCTTTTTATCGTGTATTGCTTTTCTTGTTCAATCGGGCGCACCTCGATTGACTAGACACACGTGATATTTTACGGGAATTTTTACTTTGATTTATCATTTTACAATACGTTAACATTTATTTTTTTATATTTTATTTACAATACGTAGAGGATACACTGGATTTATTTCTTTCAAAATATCATATAATTACTTGATGTCTCGCAACGTGAGTGGTACTACTTGATTCCCTGTTTCCGGTTTAATAGTCCCTATTCATAGAGTTATGTCCCTGTATTATATAGTACCGTATAATGAATTGTGTCTGGGTAGTTCGAGAAGAAAATGTCACACGGAGAATTCAGTTTTGTTTATAAAATTTTATTCAACATTTTATACTCGTTGAAATTGTTGAGAAAGCTTTCTAGTCTTCAAATGTGGATTATCCTTGTGTCAATATCCAAAATGACAGGCATATTAATGATTCGCAGTTACTGCGAATCAAAAACTTTAGATTTTAATTTTTGATTAGCAACGGACAAAATATGTATCGCAAATTGCGCTGCGATACTGGTTGTCGGCAGCCCTGAAACCACGCATGACATTGTTTAACGATAGTATTTCTAGTGTATTGGAATATACAGTTCATAGTACATTATATTAAATGCCTGAAGAGCAACTTCGGTTGTGAAAACGTTAGCACAAATTATGTAGTTTCATTTCACCAACATAAATTTTATAATATTTTCATTTCAGGGTCGTGATAAAATCAATACAGTTTACGTTGTTTCCTACGGACATTGATATAATTAAACAACAAATACAGGAAACCATGACAACAGAGGAAAAACAAGATGTTCGTGGTTATGATAATGATAACGTTAATACAACAGGTCTTGTTAATGCACAAACAATGCAAACTAGTGATAGTTCCAACATGAATCAAGATAACGCTTCATCGAGCAGATATAATGAAATGAAAATTTCAAATAATGATGTCGCTGCTCATAAAAGAAATACTTCTTCATTTCTCGTTACAAAGCTCTAGTCGATTTTGCACAATATTTCCAAATGAAGCATTACATCATTACAGAATTGAACTTCAGACAGACATTTGTCAAAATGCTTTTGGGATTAATGTAATATGTGCCACGTTCATAACTGAGGTTTTTAAAGATTATTTTGCTTTTAAGGAACCAAAACATTTTTGTAAAATATTTTAATATTTTAAGGATCCTTACCTGGACCCTGTTTCTCAAAATCTTAACTAAAGATAAAAATCCAAATTTTAGTAGATACTTCAATTTTGATAGGCTAAGCAGTAAAATCAATCTAATATTATCCAATCAAATTACTAAAATTTGGATTTTATCTTAGTTAAAATTTCGTGAAACAGGCCTCTGACATTTTTGAATATATAACATATTTTGTACTCGTGGCAATTGTTGATATATTTTTAGATGAGTTTTTCTGTTTTTTTTCTTTTTATTAACTTATTTTTTGTATTTATGCTTATTTAATATATTATTGCTAAAATATTATTGAATGTTAAGAAAAACAAGTAAATGTTTTTTTAAGATAATATTGAAATTGATAGAAATGAAATGAAATGAAATGGAGTTTAACGTCCTACTGTTCTGCTCCTAACCTGGGCTAATAAAGACGGGGAAATTGATAGACACATGATCTCAGAAATATACTTATTTAAGGCAAGTTAATATTTTATGAGGCAATTTGTTGGGATTGATGAAATACTGTCTGGTCAAGCTGGAACTATATTTTCATTCGATCTAAGCATGAATTCCTCTGAACAATTAGTCCCTTTAGCCCTAAACAGGGTTTAAACTTTGGCTGTTTTCCATCCAAACATTCAGATACACATAATTTCATAATATACCTACGCATAGTTGATTAATGGGAGTCCCCCAAAATTGACAGTTCGGAAATATTTATTGTTTATTACTGGTGTTTAATTTGACTATTTTTACATAATAGTCTGTACCCAGTGTTTAGGTTTATATCTTAACAAATTTTAGAGCCACAGGATTTGGTAACCGATAGCCTTACCTTAAACACAGCGGAAGCTACATTGTTAATATTTTGAGTGGAGAACAGATACTTTCTTATTGAACATTTTAACATATGTTTTTTTCTACCCATAATTGTGATGTACATATTTATAAACAGATTTACAGTTTTATTAGAATCCATCGCCAATTTTTGAAAAATGGCATATCTCAGAGAGCAGGAACTCAATCTTTACATGTATTCTAGCAAAATAAAGCTCAAATGTCTAAGATTTTATTATAAACATTTGAATATGGGTCTAGAATATTTACTTCAATATTCATTATTAATTCCATAAAGCTCAAATGTTTTAAGATTTTACTAAAAACATTTAAATATGGGTCTAGAATATTCACTTCATTATTCATTATTAATTCAATAAAGCTCAAATGTTTTAAGATTTTATTATAAACATTTGAATATGGGTCTAGAATATTTACTTCAATATTCATTAAATGTTTAAGATTTTGTTAAAAACATTTGAAATGGGTCTAGAATATTCACTTCATTATTCATTGTTAATTCAACTTTTGTGAGTCATGTTTAAATTATTTGATCATGTTATTTTGCATCTAGTAACATTCACGAATAAATGAATCATTTCCATATGAAATTTCCACCATTCACATATATTATGTTTGTTTCTGTTTCTAGTTTTGGGTAGGTCTTGATCTTTTGATGAATGAAAATGGAAATAAAAATCAAAAGTAGTTCCTACACAGTTCCCAGTTTATTTTATGTATGGTCAGAACCTCCGACATTCTGTTTTATATATAAAAAGGAATTGCTCATATTCAAAGACGTACATGAATATAAATATAGTAAAAAATGTCAATACCTGTATCTGTGTAGATCACCTACACTTTATGCTGGTTTCTCACTGTCGTGTAATAGGTTTACGATAGGCGTTACGATAGGATTGTCCCTATTGAGTCCACGATCTGCTACGTGCAGATACGTTCGGATACTTTTTGATACGATCAACACGATTCCTACGACTGACTAAAGTATATGATAAGACCTTATAGGATCACCACGATTACTCCACGTTTTTAATCGTACCGCGAATCGTGATAGTGGGTACCTAGCATTAAGTAGTAAATTAGAAGTAGTGGTAGCATTAGCAGATTCATTGGACCTGATCTACAAAATCTTTTTTGTTTTACCCTTTTTATTTAATACCCGCTTTTCCAACCCGCTTTTGCAGAAATCAAAATAGTTTTAGGCTATAGTTGGCATCCAATTTCAGGTTAAAAACAAAAAGCAATTCAATGGAATAAAACGTGCTTGATAACGATGAGAGGATACTTGTCAAAACGTCATGCTTTTAGATTAAAACTAGTGATTGTATCCCATGTTCTGTTAATGGGATAAAACTGAATGAATTTAAAGATATGCTCCGTCAAGGTTAAGTTAGGCCATCATTTCTCTTACCAGCAACTTCCATTTGCTTAAAATATATTTCTTATGACATGGGAGAAATAAAATTAAAGACTGAAAGTAATTAGTAAGCTCACAGTAAATGAAATAAACAAAGAAATCCTGTCCCGTCAACCACTAGATTTGACAATGGAGTGGTACACATACCAGAGATGCAAGTCAGGATTACAGCTCGTAATTTGCAAGTGGAGAATTGTTGCTTGCCCACTCAAAGTTGTGTTAGAGATGAATTGGCAGTAATGATTTTCAATACAAATAAAATTTCAACAAAATATTGTTTAGGGCAGCAAATATAATATATTCGCCAGTGTATAATCCCACAGTCTTCCTGTCCACCTTTTACCCTTATAAAATAGAAATCTATTCTCTTCTTTACTTTTCCATCTTGGCGTTCTCCTCTTAGTGAACATATTCTTAGTTTAAACGTTGAATACTTGTCAAATTGCACTTGTACTGTTTAAGACATGCCTGCAATATCACCTCGGTAGAAGTGGACGTAAAATACAACTAACTTGCACGCTGTTTAGACAGTTGATATAATTGGACGACAGACAGTTTTGATATAAGATGAAATATCCTTGACGGAATAAATTTTATTCAAATATGTTTCAGAAACCTGATTTTTATATTTCAGAATATTTGTTTTTGTTGATAGTTTTCTACAATTTAGAAAATTTTCAAGTAAAGTTAATTCAAAATTTCTTCTATAGCTTCAGGCCCCCAGTTCACAAAGCATTCTTAGACTTAAGTTAAGAATTTACTATAAAACTTTTGTTATTTTATTGTATCAAATACATTAATAAGAAACTTATGTGCAAAGTTTTGCATTTCTAGATCAAAAATATTTCTTATAAACAGTGAGTGAAAGTTGAGTAAATTCTTAACTTAAGTCTGAGAATGCTTTGTGAACTCGGGGCCTGATAATAATATAGCTTTAAGCCATTGTCTAGTTTCCATTTAGACATTTATAATATATCTACAAGAATAACCTAAATTTCTTATATACTTACATAGACTTTATTGCATTTTTCAGAGACAGTATGCATGAAACATGTGCATGAAAAGTGAAGATAAAAAGATCAACAGAAACCATGCATTGTGAATGAAACAGTCGTAGTTTAGGGATGTTGTTTTTTTAGAATGTAAACAACTGGGTTATAGACCATGTTCTGCGATAGTACTTTGTTATTGTCTCTTCTGAATTTGAATGAGAGAAATAGTTGAGTGAGGTTCCTATGTGAGCTCATTTATTTTCCAATAAAATGGGAAATATAATGCAAAGAGGTAAAACCAAGCCGAAATATCGGACTATTGTGCCAAATTGTACTGTGGATCCAGAAATTCCCCATTCTCATAAAAGTCATCCAAATCATGGATATTTATCAAATAAGATCCAAACAACACGCTATTCTGTGATAACTTTTTTACCCAAAAATCTTTTTGAACAATTTCACCGCTATGCTAATTTATACTTTTTATTTGTGGTTGCATTAAATTGGGTGCCGGAGGTGAATGCATTTGCGAAGGAAATTACAATGTTACCGGTTATATTTGTGCTGGGCGTTACTTGTATCAAGGATGCTTACGAAGATTTTCGACGTTACAGATCTGACAAAAAGGTGAATTTTCACAACTGTCGGAAATTTTCATGGTGAGTAAATGATTTGTTGTATGATTGTTTTTTTACAGCATAAATTGTGAAAAACCATTTTAATAGCTCGTCAGACTAATACACCTAGAGGCTCCAGCGTGATTATTTTGAGAAATACGCCAGATTAAAAGGTTAAGTAAAGTGTTTAAGATCATACAAAGTTAAAAATACCTTCATTAAGAAACATTTGATCTCGAAATTATTCAGATTGATCAATTCTAAGTTAACTTGTGCCCATTTAAAGTTTACATTGGCTTTCACACTGTTAAGGAGGGGGAGGGGAGGGGGGGATGGCCGAATGGTTAGTGCATGCGCGCTGTATCATAAGGTCTGTCATAGAGTCAACTGGTGTGGTTTCAATTCCCTGGTTGTAAGTGACAAGGAGTAAGGTTGCCTGTCCAACCTTGTGGGTTTTCTCTGGGTCCTCTGGTTTCGTCCCACCACTAAATGTCCCCTACGCGCTAGCGAATTATTGAAATAAAGTTGAACCTTATGTTAGTCCCAAAATGACCTAGTTTGTGTCCAGTGGAGGTTTAACCCCATTTCTCTCTCTCGCTCTCTCTCTCTCTCTCTCTCTCTCTCTCTCACTCTCTCTCACACTGCTATCTTTATGTGTCTAAGACAAATTAATAATAAACCAACCAAATATATTTAAATGCATACTTAAGACGTTTTATTATATTTTATTATATTAAATTAGTACATAAACATATTTAATTCACTATAAATGAATGGTAGATTGGGGAACAGGATAAATGTCAGACCCCTATCCCTATTTACAATACAAATTATATACTAATAATGAAAAGCAGTAGATACACTATATACAATATATACAACTTGGGATAAATGTGAACAATCTGGCCTGTGTCTTTAAACACTGAATGTTAACCTGATTACTAGATATAGTCCAGGCAAGATAGCATAAGTGCGGGCAGTTTCTGCAATAGAAAGGCTGACCATGGTTTATGGTCGGTCTAGTAACTAGATAGATGTCTATTGTCACCAATAAAATCCCAGTATATTTTGTCACAAAATGTGGTCATTTTGTAAAATTCAAATTTTCCCGTCAAAACTGACCGCCATCTGGAATTATTTTACAACATTGACTCTACAGTATATCTAATCACCCAAAATGTGAATGGAAATGGATTCAGCTACCACGAAAGGATATATTTTGATACCAAACTCGATCATATGATAATTGGATAAAAACCGGCGGCCATTTTCAATTTTGGCCAGTTTGACTGGAACTTTTTTTTGGTTACAATATATGTCTAGACCCAAGACCGACCATAAATGCTGTCTTCATTAGAACAGTAGGACATTAAACCCCATGTCATTTCATTTCCGACCATAAACCGTGGTCGGCATTTCTATTGCAGCAACTGCCCGGAATAATGCGAAATTGAGTTAAAATGCCTGGACTAACAAATGGAAGTATCAAAACAACATTGTATACATAGGTCCTCGATTTTTTGTTCCATTCCAACAACTGGACTAGACAACTGTCCCTGTCAGGCCCTGAACATTATACAGGTTCTAATTAACACAGTGCTGTTCAAATGATATCACATTTAATCTAATATTAATTGATTCGAAAAACAATGCTTCCAAACTTAAACATAATTTTTGTGTTTTCTTTTTTTCAGTACAGAAAAACGTTATGTAAAAACCGATTGGCATGATATACATGTTGGTGATTTTGTCCATCTGTCTTGTAATGAGATAATACCTGCTGATATTTTACTGCTAAGATCTAGTGATAAAGAGGGAATCTGTCATATTGAAACATGTAATATAGATGGTGAAAATAATCTCAAACAAAGATATAGTGTTAAAGGACTTGACACAAAGGTAAAATCTCTCATATGCCACTTCTAAGTCTTGATATTAATGGCTAAATCTATTTGTTAAGGCCAGCTCATTTTTGTCAAGGTCGCTGTGATGTTTATAAGGTTAGGGCACGTGATTGTTGGCGAGATTATAGGTTAGGGTTAGGTCTAGGTCCAGGGTTAGGTTTAAGAATTCATCAAGTATCTGAGAAAAGGCTTTTATATTTATCAGAGATAAATTTTTAATGTATAATCATTTCTGTCTTGTCTAGGGAAGTGAATTTGATCCTTCAGGTTTTCGAAATAACATAGAAGTGGAACAACCCAATTGTGACATCTATAAATTTAAAGGCTACATGTAAGTAATTTTACCAGAAGTTTTGGCTAAATCCCATTCTGGGGGGTTCGATGGCCGAATGGTTAGCATGTGTGCGCTGTATCATAAGGCCTGTCATTGAGTCAACTGGCGTGGTTTCGAATCCCCAGTTGTACATGCCTGTCCAACCTTGTGGGTTTTCTCCGGGTCCTCCGGTTTCCTCCCACTGCTAAAGACCCCTATGCGCAAGCGAATTATTGAAATAAAATGAAACCATATTTTAGTCCCGAAACGACCTAGTCTGTCGAGTGGACGTTAAACCCCATCTCTCTCTCTCTCTCTCTCTCTCTCTCTCTCTCTCTAAATCCCATTCTGCAAACAGATCAACCAACTTTTAGAATAGATCTGTTCCCTGAATGGCAGCCATATTGAAAAATTAGTGCATTTTCACAGACACTCACGCACACCCACACAAAGACTAAATAAGCATTTTAATTTCCTTAAATATGAAAATGGAAGTGTAGTAAATGCTTCTCAAAATTCTCAAAGTATACGTAGTGTTTTAGAATAGAATCTTCTGTCAGGTTTTATACAGTGTGAAGGGAAGTTCTCAATTCTTAAATTTTGCCAGCTGGTCAATGGTCAGTGATTTTTATACGTCTGCAATTCTGAATGGATCATCTTGGAACTTTGCATATTTATTCCTTATACCACAAAGACGGCAACTATTTATTTTGGTACATGCCCCAACCCCCTGGGACGGTGTCACACCCACTCCCACTTTTTTGTTAATATTTAGTCTGTAAATTTGGTAAAAAAAACCCCAATACCTTCTTTACCTTTTGTCACATTACAGTCATTGCAGCGATTTCATATTTCGTGCACTTTATTTTAAAAAGTACATTATCAATCAAAGCAGGAAGCGGTAGCGACAAGCGATGCTCTTGTTATATTTATTTCTTGCAATAATATAATGAATATGCTTTATTGTAAAACAACTGATGAGTAACTGATACTTTTTATTGTTTTAGATTTGAAAATGAAGAGAATAAGATAGCTTTAAATACAGATAATTTACTGCTGAGAGGTTGTGTAATAAGAAATACAGATTTTATTGAGGGTATCTGTGTATACGCTGGTCATGAAACAAAGGCATTGTTAAATAATCGAGGGCCTAGATATAAACGGAGTAAATTAGAACGAGCTATAAATCGGGATGTTGTCTGGTGTGTTGTACTCCTGTTATTTTTATGTTTTTTCTGTGCCATAGGTAAGATAAATAATCATGATGTAGAATATAATAATGTTGCATATATTTTAATAGAAAATGTAGAATTTTTGGAAAATCATTAATTTATAGATAGGCAAGACCGTACACATATAGCATTAGCATGACCACATTTTACTTGCCTCATGCTCTGCGGGAGGTTGGATGGCTGAATGGTTAGTGCGTGCGTGAAATAAAATTGAGCCATATGTTAGTCCCGAAAATGACCTAGTTTGTGTGGAGTGGACACTAGAGTGAGAGGAAGAGGCAAGGTTGTAAAAATCCACTAGCCCGATGCCCGGGGCTACCAAAAATAACTTAAGGGCTAGTGACCTATTTAGCCGTACTAATCCTGGGCTAGTGCCCTTTTACTGGTTTGTGAATTAATCTAGTGATATAGATAAATAAACTGTAAAACATCCCACATTTATTTCTCCAATTCCACAGAAAACTCAATCATAACAATAGATTTTCTGTATAAAACTTAGAGCAGTATGGACATTTTTAGTACCTGGTCGATTCATTCATTCTTGACATTTTTCTCCACCTTGCACGCTTTGACAAGATTCAAATTTTTTTTTTACGCCCCTGGGAAGAGGGGTCAATTTTATTTCAGTAATTCACTTGCACGTAGAAGTCTTTTAGCAGTAAGAGGACCCGAAGAAGACGCACGAGGTTATAAGGCAACCCTACTCCTTGTCAAGTACAACTGGCGAATCGAAACTATGCCAGTTGACTCTAGGGCAGACCTTATGATACAGCGCACGTGCTAACCATGCGGCCATCCAATTCCCCCAAGATCAATGCAATGATCAAGATATAAATATCATTTGTCTGTATTTACAGGAAGTGGAATATGGTTAGCAGACTATAACACTATAAAAGAAAATACAAATTTGGTACCATTTATATCATTTGGTGATTTAGATAAATATTCACCATTATACCAAGGTTTTATTGTCTTTTGGACGTATGTCATCATTTATCAAGTAAGTAAACACAATAAATAAAATGTTTCTTTCATGTCATCTCTTTCCTTACTGCCAGGTTTCCACTGTCGTGCGATGCGTTACGATAGGCTTGTTCCTATTGAGTCCACAATCTGCTTCGTGCAGATACGTTCGGATACTTTTCGATACGATCAACACGATTGCTACAAATGACGCCAATATGTGATAAGACCTGATATGGTCACCACGATTAAAACCACGATTTTAGTCACAGCACGAATCGTGATAGTGAGAACCTAGCATTAGCTATTGGAAAAAAAGAGTTTGATTTAAGTGTTGATTTTATTACATCTGCGTTCTTTCAGTGAGTGACTGAATCTATAGACAAATCAAAAAGATTCTACTCTTTATATAACGTACGTCTTTTGATCAAATTTATCTATTTATATTACAGGCTGTGATACCTTTACCATTATATGTATCTGTAGAATTAGTTAAATTAGGACAAGTCTATTTTATGACACAAGATAAAGAATTCTACCATCCAGAATCAGATAAAAGACTAGAATGTCGTGCCTTGAACATAACAGAAGATCTGGGCCAAATACAATATATATTTTCTGATAAAACAGGAACATTAACTGAGAATATTATGGAGTTTAAAAGTTGTACTATAGGTGGTATTGACTATCCTCATTTACCAGGTAAAGTCTATTAATCTGTTCAACATTACATGTAAAAATATTTGTACAGAATCCTTTGATGGTAGCCTGGAGGTCGGGTGTTCAATCCCTGCATTGGCCGAGAAAGTTCATTCTGATTTTCCGACGTGGTTTCCCCTTGTCAGTGGTGCAGGAAAGAGGGCCTGACAAGGACAGCTGTCTAGTCCTTCGGATGAGACGAAAAACCGAGGTCCCGTGAATACATTGGAATGCACGTTAAAGATCCCTTGGCAGTTTGAATTCGATATAAGAGTAGGCGATAGTGCCGCTGCCCGGGCAAAATTTCCCTCATAGCACTCTGTATGGTGTATGCCCGTCTTCATTAGCCCAGTATAGGAGCAGAACAGTAGGACGTTAAACCCCATTTCATTTCATTTCATTTTCTTTGATGGTAAATTTCTAGTTTCTGTTGTAATTTAATTGTAAATTTCAGATTAATTATCTAAATTTTGAATTACCATCTAATCGGTACTTACAACAAAAATTGAACAATTTTAATGTTCTCAATTTGTGCTTGATAACGATAAGAGAACGATAACGATAAGAGAACGATAACGATAAAAGAACGATAACGATAAGATAATGATAAGAGAACGATAAGAGAATGATAACGATAAGAGAACGATAACGATAAGAGAACGATAACGATAAGAGAACACCAATCTTATTAAAATACAGATCTTTATTTTGTTTCGTTTTTTTATACTTTCGATGGCCTACATGAAGATCTGACCAGTTGTACTGGGAGGTGGCATCAGAGGTCATACGAGCAGCTTTTAACCTATTGACATCAAACATTTGATTAACCAATGATATGAGCGTTGATGTTTCTAGTGGCTTACGCACAGTTTTTGTGCATCTTAGGCCAAAAACTCACCGTAACATACCTTTTCTTTGGCTAATCCCTCACATCATCAAAAACACAGGCTACATAAAAACTCTTCCAGATCCTAGTATAGTAACGAGAAGTAAAACGAAATTTTGAACTATAAAAAACGAAACAAAATAGGATCTGTGTTTTAATCAGATTGTGTAATGTGGTTATTATGATGTTTTATAGGAGAAGATGACAGTAGTGATATTAGTGAGGTTGATAGTAAAATTTCAATCCCGAGTAGAAACAGCTCAGTAAGTTTATTTTAAAAGGGGTTATTGAATGAATGGGTGGTATTATTTGTACAGGTAGTCATGGGTTTGATTCTGTACATGACACATGCCGTATTTTACGGGATATAAGTTAATGTGGAGTGTAAGTCGAATCGTCATATTTTACTGTTTTATGGAACTATCTATGCCCTACAAAATGATGGTAATGTCTTGCAAAGAGTCAAAATTTAAATGGCGTGATTTCGATCCCCCAGCTGTACTTGACAAGGAGTAAGGTCGCCTGTCCAACCTCATGGGTTTTCTCGGGGTCCTCCGGTTTCTTCCCACTGCTACAGACTCCTATGCACAAGTGGATTATTGAAATAAAATTGGACCATATGTTAGTCCCGAAATGACCTAGTTTGTGTGGAGTGGAGTTAAATCCCACATCTCTCTCTCTTTTCAAGATCTGGCAATTGCAGTTGCCTAACTCTACTAGTTAATGAATATAATTTGAAGTTTTGAATAATGCAGATATTCCTTGGAATAGATTTTCAGTACTGGCAAATATAAGAAATTTATATTTTTGAATTTAGGTTTTGGAGAATTTAAGATTAGAACCAGCGTTACAGAGAGAATTATCTAATATGTGTTTAAGAAGTTTAGATAGTGTAGAGTTAGTTATACCAAGACATGTACAACGAGTCCAGGAATTCTTTTTATTAATGGCTGTCTGTAATACTGTAGTTGTCTCCAATCATCCACATGAAGATAATGTAAGTAACATTCTTTTAATTTTTACGAAAAGAGAAAACCATTAGAGTCAGTCACAAAATTCATTATAAATAGTGGCTGCTATATCAGGGCCATTTTATACAAAATGTTATACCTGTTGATAAATAACTATTCCGCCCGAAACACGTCCTGGAATATATCTTTATATATTCGGTAGCAGTCTTGTTGGTGTGTTGCTGGGGGATTACTTTTCTTCATCTTTTTTAGAAGATTCCTTTTTCCTCTCTAAGATCCATGCCAACCTGCACTGTTGGCTTGTTCCTTTCTGCCCCCACCGTATCACTGAGTTCACGCCGAGCCGCCCTGCTCCAAGATTCTTCCACCCACTATTAACACTTTAGTGAAAAGTTGTTCCTCGTTGTCTTGGAAATAGATGTTATACCTGTGATGTGCAGCACATTGTTATGAGTTTCAGGTGCTCAATAGATGTGTTTTTACATGTCCATGAGATGTTGAATCCAAACGTGATTCATCAAATATTATTAGGTGTCCCCTGATTATAATTTAAATAGTTACAGTATGGTTAAACATACATTATACAAGAACTAAATCTGCCTATTGCAGGTCTTTCTTTAGGCCTGAAATGTTATATAAACTATTAATTAGACATTTATTAACTTATCCAAACCATAATGAACTCTCGATGTCATCTTATTTGTCGGATTTTCACTGGATTGGAATCCAATCTTCTGCTCAACACTCACTGATGATTAAATCCAAAAATGAATAATTGAGACTATGTTTTTTATCGTACTGACTTCAGTAATGATGATCGAGGCTAGGCTTAAAATTCAAAAGCTAATATCTTGGTTCATAGTGCAGCAATTTGACTGAAATTTTCAACATCTTCTATTTACGTTATCTATTTTTATACGCCCACATTTTCATGTGGACGTCTGCAGGTCACAATCTTTATCCGATTTCAATGAAACTTGAAATATAGGTTTATCACCCCAAGATCTCGGTTCCTTTCGATATTGGCATGTATCGGACCGTAACTTCATGGATTATGGCCCCTGATTGTACGAAAAATCACGTTTTTAGCTTGTGAACACTGTAGAGGTCACAATTTTTATCCGATTTGGTTTAAACTTGAAATGTATGCTTATAACCCAAAGATCTCTGTTCCTTTCGATATTCGTGCTTATCGGAACGTAACTTCCTGAATTATGGCCCCTGATTGTACGAAAAATGGCCTTTTTAGCTTGTGGACCCTATAGATGTCATAATTTTTATCCAATTTAAAAAACCGTATTATTATATCACCGTTACACCCTAAGGACGACTGAGTTCCAATTTCGTGAAAATCAGCCCAAAACTGACAGACAAAATGGCCGCTGTTCGTTCTCAAATAGCGTAAAAATATGATATATAATGGTTGTGGACCCTATAGGGGTCACAATTTTAATCCGATTTTGTTGAAACTTGAAATGTAAGTTTATAACCCAAAGATCTTGGTTTCTTACGATATTCGCGCATATCGGACCGTAACTTCCTGAATTATGGCCCATGATTGCACGAAAAATTGCGTTT